GCTAAGTACCTCTCTTGTGTCTAGGAGTATCTTTTTTTTCCATTTTCCTCAGAAGTGGGAGATGTAAATTCAAATCCCCTCTAGATGAGTGAGGGCCTATAACCCACTACCACTTTCCCAGTAAGTGTTCTAACCTCCCAATTTCTCAGTAAGTGTTCTAACCACATTTAAACAGGGCTCCTTCTTGAGAATTTGCTAATTGAAAAATGCTTTTATCCAATAGTTTTAAGAAAATTCAGCTCACCACTTACAAATATTTTCCATAGCTATAAAAATTCAGATAGGAATGTTTTGATATCTGGCTTATTATAAGACTTAACTTCAACTATGGAGGAGTAATAAGTGCCTTCATAAATACTATCAACATTTCTTTGGTGCCTGTTTGTTCTTTACAAATAGGAGAAATAAAAGACAGTCTGTGCCCTCATGAGTTTCCAATCTACAAAATAAATAATTATGACTATGAACAGAGCTATGTGAAAGAGCACTGCAGAATGTCACCAGGGACTCTTTCTTGTCCCATAATCTCTCCCTATGTCTCAGAGATGGGCATACAAGTTAAAAAGTCAATTTAGAGAGAAAAAAGAACGAATTCTTCTTTTCTGTTTTGTGAGCCTATCATTCATTATATGGTCATATGGACCACTTTCTTTCACGTTGGGCCATTCAGATAAGGCAAACACAAATTTAATCCTGCTACCAATTCTCCAAGTCTTCTATGCTTCTTAGGTCTCATCTACACATTGCACTTAATGTGTGATTAACCAGTTAAACATGCCTTAAGTGTTCATTTGGCCACACAGCCAATCAAATAATGGTGTGATAAAAAGAGGAATAAGCTACAAAGTTATTCCACAAAATATGCAGAATAACTTTGTAGTTGCTTCCTATTGTGCCATTAATTGAATGTGTAGCCAGGGGCCCCTGTGGCTAGGCGCCCTGAAAACTGATTGGAGCTCCCAGCTGGGAGAAGGCCATGTGCATTCACAAGCCTGCGAGCTCCCAGCTGACAGGACTCCCAGTTGTGGAGGGGCCCCATGAACCCCCACACCTGGGAGATTGCAGCAACTATGGTCTCCCAGCCATGGGATATGTGGATCCACCTGTGCCTGGGAAAACACAGCTGGTGTGGTCTACCAGCCATGGGATATTTGTGAAGGTCCCTGCAGCTGGGAGATTGCAGCAAGTATGGTATCCCTGGGTCCCCATGGCTGGAAGACCTGGTCAGCTGATGAGCCTCCCAGGCACAAAAGCGCATATTGTGCCCCACATCTGGGCTCTCAGCTAGGAGAGCTTGATTCTTGCTAGTGCAGGGGGCGCCCAGGATCAGGCTCAAGGCATGATGAAATCTAATAAACTATCCACATAATCATGCCTCCTGCCAGGCAAATGTGACCTGGCAGGAGCTGTGATTATGCACAGTGCGCTTTTGATCCCATTGCACCTTTACCTGCACATGTAGGAGGACTGCTAAATGATCCTTTTCTCAAATAATGTAGCAATCAAACACTTCATAGGAAGATCCATTCTCTTCTTCCATTCAAAATAATGATTCTACAAAGTATCTGGTGGTTTTGCCACATTAATACATAGCATTTACTAGATGGATCATACCATAGATGGATCTGAAAAGCAATATATAATACACTGTCTGAAATCTTGCTACTAAGGGAAGGAGACTTTCATGATGATTTTGCATCAGTTACAGACCTTGATGCATGTGTGAGGTAACTGGGAGGTTACATTTTGAGCCCACCTCCCACCCGCAATTTGTCTTCTTGCCTGAAGTCAGTTGGTTGGACTCACCAGCATTAGGATTTAACTAACTCTTACTATTCCTGTTGTTCCTTTTGCTTCTTTTAGCTTTTTCTTTGTCTGGATAAAAATTCTAGAAATCTTTTGTATAATTTTTTCTTTTAAGAGCACTACTATTGGCAACACCCAGCATTAGGAATACTGAGTTCTATTACTGCCATTTGTTATTTCACACATGCCCATAGTTTTATTTTAATAGCCTTGCTTACTTTATTTCACTTACAAGCATGGCTGGATGCCATCTCTTGAACAATGTTTAGTAAAACTGGAAGAAAGATTTGAAAACTTGGCATTGGTCATGAGGAGTTTTCTATTCCATCGTATTCTTCCAATTTCTTGCCAAAAAGCTACTTGGTACGCAAAACGTATAGGTTTCTTTCACAGAGTTATCAATTAATTAAATTACTGTTTATATTCCAATTTGGAACTCATTGTATGTTTTGCAGCAGAGATAGCTCCTGGTTTCATTCTATCTATGTATAACTGTGCAATAAATTCCCATAGATTCAAATCTCAAAGACACAATGCAGTCTCAAGACAAATGGCCAGGTTCTCTTGATGTAATTAGGAGTAACTTTATGGAAGTTATTGAATTACACCAGTGGGAAAAGAAAATCAGGTTCAAAATGTAAACTCACTCTCACAAGTAATTTGTTCATTGAACATAATGGACAACGTTTCATAGTTTTATTGCTTACAAAGCCCCCTACAGCATCATGCTATATTGGTATATGATATGATACAACACAATATGATACAATGTAGTCATAGCTCATATTTCTAAAAAAGGAATTTTGAATTCAGACATTAATATTTGATCCAAAAAAAAACTAGCAGACTGAAAAACAATACGTTTGGGATAATCTACAAGAGACACAGATTGATTAATGCCATTTTCATGGTGTTCCACTGTTTTGAATGAATACAAAAGCTTTTCCACATAGAGAAATTGAGCAGCATAACTACAGAAAAATCACTATACTATTACAGCTAAGTTGGTATAACATACCCAGGCAGATGTTTTATGGCAAAAGAGAGTCACTATTATTCTGGAACATATAGAGTCCATATGGAAGATTTATACCAGCATAGGTATTATTGCTCTACGTACAGGTAGGCTGATCAATTTCCTCATGTAGATATATCCTAAATGTAGGACATTCTCTTGAAAAATGAAATATTCAGTGACAGAAGTTTGCTAAATTTAATAGTCAAGAAATAATAAAGCAACAAGCTATCTGATTCAGTGTAACAAAATTGAAAAAAACATATTTCTGGCCCTAAACCTATTATTTGTGATTGTTTAAACTTTTATTGCATACTGCACACAAAAAAGAAATGAATCCTTAAGTATACACTCTGTGTGTGACTCACTGGCCACCTACAGCAAACAGATACAGATTGCAATACTTAATGTTATGTTTTAGCTCATGCAAAGAAAAAAGCAGCAATTTATGAGGCATGTCATTTCACCTGTGGATTTAATTTGAATTTCCTATTTATATTCAGGACTATGAGTCTGCACATAAGATGAAGAATTAGGATAAGGAAAAGAAAAATAAGGGCAGAGGAAGCTGGCATCAAGAATGCACTCATTGTCACATGATATTCCATAGCAAAACTGTCTGGATTTTAATTTAGTTTTTTTTTAACTTTCTATGGTACTGATGACTTTCAGGGACCTCTGTGATAATCCTATATTCCTTGCGAGTACACAGAGGCACTGGTGTGTAAGGAGCTAATAGTACTGCCCTTCTCCAGTTGTTGACAGAGATGGACATTTACACCTTTAATGTAGTATCTATTTGGCCTCAGTATATATAAAACCCTTTATAAATCCAGGTTCTTTAAAGTTCTTTGAAAGTTTAAACATAATGTCCCTCTTTATACCTAAGAGGTGTAAAGAGGCTGCCTGTCAGCAAAATAGGATTTTTAGTAATATACTTCATCCCTGGCTACTGCAGATAAAATCATAGACTTGACTTCTGTGCTTTGCCCAAACTCCTGTGCTCTACATCAGAATATGCAATAACCTTCACCGTTGAAAATGGGATGCTTACAATATTTTGTATTACTTTCAGAAATACAAATTCCCTTATTTTATTCTGATACATTGACCTGGTTTCTTTTTTACTTTGTTTGCTTGCATCTACCTTAGTAAGCGGAAACTACCTTCTCTTTCTCACTGAACAGAGCACGTTCTCTCGCCATCAGTGAAGTCGAATGTCGCATGTCAGAGTGGAGATGAAAAAAAACTTATTCCCATCAGATTTAGCAAACAGAAACCATTTGATCTATCAGGTTTAGTGGACAGACTTAGTCTATGTCCTCAAATTCAATGAACACAAAAAAGCACTCAACTATGATATTGTAGGTGGTTTCACAGAAACTAAATTCCTGACAACATTTAAATACTATACTGATGGACACTGTCAAACAAGCAGAGGTTTCTTTCTTTTTCTTTCTAACGAATCTCCCTTAGAGGTGGTTTCTCACCAGATCCATTTATTTATTTATTTAAATAGCCTAAATAGAGTACTAGGCCTTTTCCAGACATGTATGAAGATGAGGCTCCTGCTCCAGAGATCTTACAGTCTAAACTGAGTGTTTGTTACCAAGATATATCTTGAACAGTAAGAAATAGGTTTTTCTTTGAGGCCAAGAGTTTAGCCAAATTAAAAACACAAGTAGACAACATATATGGATAATAAGGAAATACATAGGCACATAAAAATAGATTTAAAAAACCATTAGTTTGCAGAGTACAAACTAAACAGTAATGTGAGTGTTAGGGAAAAAAAGTTCTTATGTCCATAACTGCCTACTTCAGGATTTTTTGCACTTTCCTCTAAAGCAAGTATACTAGCCAAAGGGAGAAAGAGGATGCTAGACAGACAAATTGCTTCCCTGATATGGTCAGACTAATCTTATTTTCCAATTTATGGATATTTGCATAATTAGTAAACTATGGAAGTGGGAAGATGAGAAATTCAATAGTGAAGATTTAATATTGTTTTAGTTTAATTTAAAAGAGATGTAAAGACTTTCAGGTGAGTTAACTTATAACAACATTACATTTAAGTGCCCTTGAGCTTCCACATTAAAAGATTGAGAGAAAAAAATCTCTTTAAGACTCTTATCCAGCAAATACTTCAGCACATGCTCTAAATTAAGCATATGCTTACATGCTTTGCTAGATTCAGGCTCAGGTGTACATCTGCAGTCTATAAACACAAAAAGAATTACATGTAAATCACTTCAATGATAAACTAGCATTTTACTTCCTTTTAAGTGCTAAAGCCCATCCTACTATTCTCAGAAAAAATACACATTAAAAATTTACTTCTTTCCCCCAAAGACACCTTACTTCTTAGTAACACAGAAGTTAGAGATGGAAAACAGTTACTGTGTGATACATCCCACCCCCTTAGAGGACAGGATTGTTCTTTGTAACCTCATGCTACTGAAGCTTGATCTGCAAAGAGGTAGGCAGTGAAAGAGACAGCATTTGACAGATTCTATTATAGCAGTAACTGCAGTGAGGGAGGTATTCAAGACATTTTTCCTTTTTCTTACCGCTGATTCAAAAACATACATTCCCTTTTAAATTATATATTATCTGCATTTAAGTACTTAATAATATAATTGTGGTTCTGTTTGCTCAGTATCACCCAAACAATTTGTAACAGCATTATATACTTCTGAAAAGACCAGGGAGGCAAATACTATTGTGGTTCCACAGCAGCTCCATTGTTAAGGTTGTGTTGAGAGTTGCTCTTAAAGCAGGGATTATGTTTCTTTGTTATGATGAATAATATAGTCTATATCCCCCAAATAAATAGAGGTGTTCCTTAAGCCCAGAATGAATTTCCTAAGAATTTACATGGAAGTAATGTAAGACAATCACCTTGAAATGACCTGTTTATAAATTTGATCAGTGACACTTCCTCTTCTATCCAGTAGGCAAATTCTAGAATTTTGAAATCAGTATATTCCAGCAGTTTTCAAATGAAGCAAAATCTCAAGTAGTCTACATTTTAAGTTTATGACTGTGTTTGTATCTTGTTCTACTCTGTTTCTGTATATTTTATACAGTTATTTCATCAAAGGCTGCCATTGCTGAATGTCTGTTTCATAATCTAAGCCCTTATTAAAAAAGAATGTAAAAAATATGGTCACAATTTTTAAACAATCAATTCATAAAGCCAGGTGTCTAAACCCATTTTGAGGATCCAGACATGCAAGCACGTGTGGTTTGCGGCACCGCAAATTTCTTTGAGGCACCACAAACCACACATGTTGCATGTTAAACCATGCCCCTCACTGCTAACTTGCAGCGCTGGGGCAAAATTTGCTACTGGGATTTCTACAGCTAACTGGGGCAACAAGGTGCCTCAAGATGGGGAGCAGAGGCACACAGAGACAAGGGAGCAGCCAGCCCAGAGGTGCTTGCTCCCCCATCTTGAGGCATCCTGTGTCCCAGGCAGCCAGGGAGAGACTGGCTGGGGCACAGGGTGCTTCAAGGTATGGGCTCTGTAGCGTGTGTAGATGGGGGAAAAGGCAGCCCAGGGCCTCTCCCCAGCTGGCTGGGACACAGGGTGCCTCAGTACAGGGGCCGTGTGTCAGTTAGGCACCCTGTGCCCCATCCACCCCGGCCCTGCAGCACATGGAGCAGTAAAACAATGTGTTGCACTGCAAACCGCCTGAGCAGGGGCGTGCACTGCAGCACAAAGTAGCAGCACCAATTTGTGCCACTCCTTTTTGTGTTGCTGCAAACACACGCCCCTGATATAATCTTTTTATGTAATCTTTTTTATGGTATATCTAGCTTTTGCAAACTATATCTAACTGAATACTTAAGGCAACTTACTGATGCTGGGAGGGGTGTGGCATGTGTGTGTTAAGACATGCTTGCAGAGCACAGCGTGTGGGATGCGGAGGATTCCTGGAATGCCTCCCTAACACCAGCAGGATAGTGTCTCCCTGACACTTGTAAGATAGCAAGAAGTTCAGAAAAAGGTCTCATTATAATGCTAAAAATCACACCCCTGGGCAGGGCAAAAGTATGTTAATGAAACATATATGTATGTAAATGAATTACATGGCTAAAACATAGGTATAGAGACATGCTCAGTAGAGAACGTCTTATGTCAGTGGCTTGTAACCAATCACTGAGCGATACACTTGCAAACGTATGTATAAAAGGTACCCAAAGGTAGAAACCGGTGGTGCTTGCTTTGCAAACGATTGCCAAGCATCCCTCTCTGCGCAGACTGGAAACAATAAAGATTAAGTTGGATCCTCCACCCCTGTGTGTTCATTGACAATAGCGCACCAGGCACGAACTCACACTGTCCATTGGGGACAACACCCCTGCTAATGTGGACATGGCCTTAGTGGCCTGGTTTTCAGAGGCGATGAGCAATTTACATCACCCATTTGACTCAGTATAGGTAATCAGAGTAAGTGGGTGCTGCTAGATGCAAAATAATCCACCTACATTTTTGTGTCTACACATTTTGCAGTTATAGACATTTACACACATTAAAATGTAAGCATACAGGCCGAGATTTTCAAAGCTGTGTAAAGAATTTAGACATCCCATTGCTTTTAAATTTTATGGAAAATGAATGTCAGAGTACTAAAACCAGCTCTGAACATCTAGGTGCATGAACTTTCTGCTATTTTACAGGATGAAACCCAGAGATGAGGTAGCAAGTGCCTAGCTGGGATTTAAAGACTGGCTGAGGTATCTGGAAGCGAACCCAGCTAAAGGAAGAGTAAGAGTTACTGGGAAGCTGGTGAAGCAATCGTATTTGCTCTGTCTAAAATGTTACTCTCTTGGAAGAGAAATCTATACACAATGCTCAAGTTTGTGCCCTCTGATGCTCAAAGCTCTTCAAGCCACCAAGTTCCTGCTGTTGAACATGAAAAGCTCTGTGTGGCAGACAGAAGAAGTTGGAGCACTGGTTAAAGCTTTCTCTGCCAGAATGAAGTACTTTAAACAAAGGAGATATAATTATTTGCCTAGTCCCCAGCTCTACTCCCTAGCTATCCCCTTTCACTGCTACAGGCCTGCAGGCTTCGTATTTACTTGCAAAAAGCACAGTTAACTTAGAGAGACTGAGTTGCTTGGGTGAATTTCCTTAAAACAATGCAAACACTAAACAACAGGAAAAAGCATATGTCAAGACAACACCCGCAAACAACACCATTCTCTAAACATTAGTCTATTATTATCATAGTAATCAGGGTGTGCAGACTTAGCTCTGAACAAGATACCCTGAAAAGCAAGGTAAATTAACCCAGGCAGAATGCCACGTGAATGCAGCTAGGCAGCTTTCAGTACTTGAGCTGATGCATTTAGAGGAAGATCAGGGATCTTTGCACTGCACTGTGCCATTTACACATCTTCAGTCACATGTAGAACATACTAACACAACATTTCAGTTTGACAGTGCTATTAGCCTCCATGCACATACAGTTAAAAATTAAAAGATATTGTAATTGTGTGTTATGAAGAAATAATAATTAAAAGTTCAGGCCACAGGTGTAATTCCTTTTTTAGAAGGGAGAATTTGTGCAAATAAAGCTGTACCCATTCAGCTTAGTACACTCTCCTGATGGTACATGCAAACATTCACTGTATTTGATCTACAATCATACAACTTTCTTTAAGCTGCCTGATTATAGATCAAGAGTGGCCTGCACACACTTTCTTTAGTGCTGTGAGCTACACTGGGAACCCAATCTAAGTAAGCTGGGGTGGGGGAAGGGGCAGAGGGCTGACAGTTGGTGGGGCTAAATGTAATCTGGTTGGCTGGGGGTGAGGGGGTAGGAAGAGCACAGTCCTGGAGCTGGGGTGAGCAGCTGGACTTTCTCACCCCTCAGGCTGCACTCCAAGGCATTGCACATAAAACTGTTTAAGTGATCAGAAACTGGTTTAAACCTATCTCAGAACAGACATTCAGTGCACATAAATCAGTTTCAAACTGGTCAAAACTGGTTTGAGATAAACCTGGTTGAATGTAGTATCAGACTTAAATGATTTGTCTCAAACCGGTTTATGCAATGTCTGTCCCAGACTCCTTGCTGGTTTAAGATAAACCAGACTCCCCCAGCATCCCAGCATGCTCTCTGAGCTGGGCTAGGCAGGGCTTTCTGCTCCAGCCTCAGAACTGACCCCGCATTTCTGCTCTCTAGCCACAGCAGGAACCAGACCTAGCGGAGACACTGGTCGGCATGGTCCCATTAAAGCAAAGTGGGTGTGGAGGGGGTTAATTCTTCCCTCCTCCTCCTCTTTCCCCACCACAGCTAGGGTCTGCCTCTCTGCCAGATAGCAGAGGGGAGGGGGTTGCAGCGGTGGCCCCTGGAGCTGGCAGACCCCAGCTGCAGGGAAGGGACAGAGGGAGGAATTAACCCTTCTCCCTGCCCCCTTCACCTTAATGGGGCAATGCTGGGTTAATTGTCCCTCAAGGTGGGGAGGGGGGCTATATTCTGTGCTGGGGAGGATTCTTCCCCCTCCTCCCCCTCTCAGGGTGGGGAGGGGGACTCTGTGAAGTGCTGGATAAGGACTCTTCCGCCGCCTCCTCTTCCCCCCCCGCACCACTGTGGGGCTGGGAGGTGGGTACTCCACATGATGCTACCTGGCCCTAGAGTGGGCATGGTGGGGCAGGGGGAGGCTCTTCCATGATGGGGGGAACTCCTCTCCCTCCTCCTCCCCACAGAGGGGCAGCGGGAGCATGGAGCTCAGCTGAGCAGGGGGTGTGTGTGTGAGGTGTGAAGTGTGATGGAGGATCGGGGTGTAGGGACCCCCACACACTCCCACCTTAGGTGTGCAGTCCCTACCACCTGGCAGCAGCAGCAGGCAGGAAGGTCAGGGTGCTCGTGCCCAGCGCAGGCATGGCTCTGACCAGTGCTGCATGGGGGAGGGAGAGGAGCCTGCCTTATCCCCACGGCTCTGCTCCGAGGCTGCAGCTCCAGCACTGACAGCAGGGGAAGCCCCACACTGGAGCCAGCTGCTTCCCATGCTCCCTGCCATGCAGGTCCCTTCACTCTGCCGGGACTTGATGGAGCCCCGCCTCCTGCTTCCCCACAGAGTCCAGTGCGGGACTTCCCTATTGTGAGTATAGAGCTGCAGCTGCAGCACGGAGCCATGATAGAGGCAGCCAGGGCTGCACTGGGATGAGGAGTGCAGCCTGAAGAGTTTCCCTCAGCATGGAAC